AATCCGTTTAATTTATGAATAATATCGACAGATATATGTTCATTACAGTCACACCATTGATTTCAGATGGGATAATGCTAGCAGGTTCTAATGAGAATCTAATAAATGAAACTGGGCACCTGATGAAGGTTCTGAAGGCTGTGGGACCGAGCCGCATGTTGCCTTTGACCCCAAGGAAGCGAATGAAGAGAGCTGCGATTCTCTCCACCAGCCGCAGGTAATTGAACTGTTTGTTGTACTTGGGGTAGACCTGTTTTAGACACAGGGAGGGCAGATTTCCCATCTCATCTGGACTCCTGCTCTGAGATTCTGGATCCATTGGGATTGCTTCCGCATCTTCAAACCCACCGGGCTTCAGATGAGAACCCCTGGTACAGAATAGCAGTAAAAAAGTTTATTTTCCATGTCGTTTTTCAAAAAGTGACTTCCAGTGAGACCCTTACAGGCAGACAAGACAAGTCTGACAAACACACAAAGCCTTTCCAGAGAACTAAAGACCTGTTTGAGCAAAGCTAGATTACCATGGTAACAGATAAATATTAAATATTGTCTGATGTACAGAGGTAGCCTACTCACGAAGAGGTTATGAGCTAAAAGTTTCAGTTAACTATTTGCAAATGTGGACAACAATTTTTCCAGAGGGCCAAATCAAGATATCTGACTCAAAGGGCTGCCTCAAAAATTGGAGAATATATATTTTTTAAGAAAGATAACCTGCAAGGCTTTTTCCATGCATTTTCTTGTTGTAGCATAATAAGCATGCTTAATAAAAATATGTCTTCCCAATATTCTTTAAGAATATAAGACGTACTTTCTGTGAACATGCTTTTGTGACAGCACATTTGTTAACCTAAATATGCACAAAATAAAAGTTGTATGTTTTTGGGAGCCTTTAAGGGTCAGTCTGGTTCTGAAAACACAAACTAAAATGCATACTAGCCAACCTTAATCCAAGTATTTTTGATGTACAGTACTGGTAACAATTTTCAGTCAGGTCATCTGGACAGTTTCTTAGCAAAAAAAGAAACTGTCCAGATGACCTGACTGAAAATTGTTGGATTGTATACCTGGATTATTGAGAATGGACTTTTTTGGTTTTAAACCGATTTGACATGACTGTCGACAAGGAAGAGGGCCGGCAACGGAGGAGGGAGCGTGCTAAAGACATCATTTTAGCACCAACATAACTAGTTTGTTCCACTTTGGAGTAAGCTGTTTGGGGGAAGAATCAGTTTTGTGTTGTGTATTTCCTTGACTGATGAAGCCTTCTGGATGGAAGGTGAAACGTTTCAGCAAAAAAAGAAACTGTCCAGATGACCTGACTGAAAATTGTTGGATTGTATACCTAGATTATTGAGCATGGACTTTTTTGGTACAGTACTAGTATTTGCTCAAGATGTTTAATTTAGACTTCCATAAATTAGTTAGTAAAATGCAGTTTTTCATAGTTATTTAAAAGTTGTTTTCGGCTGTGGCTGTGGTTAGAGCAGTCGTCCTCCAATGCAAGAGTTGAGGTTTCAATTCCACCAGCAGTCACATGCCAAAGTGTCCCTGGGCAAGACAATGAACCCCTCATTGCCTCCAATGTGTGTCCCATCGGTGTTTGAATGAGAAAAAGCACTGATTATTTTTTGTAAAGAGAGTGTTGTATGAATGGGTAAATAATAGCACAGATTGTGTTGTAAAGAGCTTTGAGTGTCTTGATCAGATAAAAAGGTGCTATAAAAGTACAGTCCATTTGTCTTTTCAAATAGGGATATTGGGGACCAAGTGGAGATTGTCCAAAGGCTGCTTTTGGTCCTTGGGCCAAATGTTGCCCGCATCTGATTTATAAAAGCTTGACTCATTTACTGATTTGTTTTTTAATAATCTCCCAGAAAGAAAAATGATACTTTTACAACCTTTATAAGACACGTCAGATTGACATAAAAATTAAAAAGCAGCAGTTAGCCTGTAAAAAGATTAAAAAAAGAAAAGCTTATTCAAAACACCAAAGTTCATGCTCAATAATCCAACAATGTTCAGTCAGATCATCTGGATGGTTTCTTTTTTTTTTTTTTTTCTGAGACGTTTCGTCCTTCATCTTAAGGACTTCTTCAGTCTGAGGAGCCACCAACAAACTGAGTCTCACCACAAACGGCACACTCCTATAGTGGGAAAAACTTGTGCAAAACGACACCATCAGAACCACATCAAGTTGATGACATAGGCTACATAGAAGACATCAGGCTATATGTTTTTTGTCGATTTGCTGAGACGTTTTATCAAACAGAGAATGTTAGATTTAATTTGTTATTATGAGATTTTTTTAATATCCTAATTACCTAATTTGATTAGATCAATGAAGGGATCTGCACCAAAACTATATCAGAGTTAAATGAGTGGTGAGCCGTTGTCCCCTGTCACTGAGGGATTTGAAAAGTGAATGTTTGTAGTTTTTGAGATGAGTTATTTCCTGGGCTGGAATTGAACAAAGTAAACCTTAATGTTTTTGGTGCAAGATAATCAAGTGTGTAGGAGTAACACTGTAGAGAAGCACAACCACTGGTTCTGCACTGGTGGAGCCAGGGGTGGGACAGTGGTGGCCTTGGAAGCAGCTGTCTACGATTTTGATGTGGCAACCCAATTTTTGATAATGGCCTTTTTACATCTAGGTGGAGCCACATACCAAGATGGAAATCTGTGTCTTACTTATTTTTCAAACGATCAAGCTCACAAGACAAACAGACAAAGGGAATTTGCAAATCCCCTTGTTGCTCTGCGATGGGAACAACAAATCTCTTGAATGTGGGGGTTAAAATTTCAGATCGTTCTTTCTTGTCCTAAACAGAAGAAGTCTATTTTAATTTATTTTAACAGTTTATTATAAACTTTTTCTTCAACATGTGAGAAATAGGCTTTTCATGTTTTCTTGTTAACATCTTAGTCCAATATGTCTCACTTCCCATTAATACAAGAAGCTGTTTTGTAATGAAGTTAGCGGCAAGAAGATTTGTTTTCTCAGTAACTTTAGTTAATAAAACATTGTATTTTGAGTGGAAAAAGCATCAAAAGTATGTGTGGTGCACCCTTTTTCACGTGAATGTCTGAGTTCAAGAAGTAACATTGGAACCATTGTCAGAGTAATTTTTTTAATTTTTTTATTTATTCATTTCATTTTTCAGTCATTTTTAATTGAGTTTTAGGCTTTGTCAAGCCAGGCTAAGAGAAGAAAGACCTACGTTGTTGAACTTTTTTAATAATAATCCTCTGCTGAGTGTGTGCACATGTTGTTTACGGTGAGGAGTGATGAAAGAGTGTTTACTAGTGAGTTCACAGGGTGGTATGTGTACAGTGTGGTGTGTCTGTGTTTTTGTGTGTTTATCATGAGTGTGTTTGTTTGAAATCAGCCACAAGAGAGCACAAGCCAGTGTATCTCTTGTGCCAGTCCCAAGCTAGTGATGTGTCTGAAGGTAGAAGTAGAAGGGCTGATGCAGTCATGCAGATGCAATGCAGATGCAGATGCAATGCAGATGCAATGCAGATGCATTGTCAGTGGTTATGCTCCACAAGTTGGATGTGATGTGGAGGAGAAAGATATAGTTTGGGGAGTGGTGGCACAGAGGTTAGAGAAGATGAGCCTGTAATCGGAAAGTCGCAGGTTCAACTCCCAGTACCGTCAACATCAAAGTGTGGGTGGAAAAGGTGAAACACCCACACCTGTCTCCGCCCTCATTTGCCCCACTCTGAGCTCCTGAGCAAGGCCCTTAACCGCCACCATTTGCTCCAAAATACAGGTCTCTCTTGAAAATGAGTTCTCGTGACTCAATGAAACTACCTGTATAAATAAAGGGTAAATGAAAAAAATATATATATATTTTGGAAGGATCTGGATGAAGTGATGGAGAGTATTCTCAGGGAGGAGAGAGTTTTGATCGGAGCAGACCTGAATGGACATGTTGGTGAAGGAAACAGAGGGGATGAGGAAATGATGAGTAAGTTCTATTTCATATAGGCTTCGCCCTTTAAGGCTGTCACTTAGTGGGTTTATCCCGTCATGCGGAGCATTACACTGAAAAATTTAGTCCACGCCACCTGCTGTGTGGGCCCCACCCAGTCCGTATAAATTACGTTAAGAGCGGGTAATCGGCTCCCATTTTTCTTCAGCGAGCTAATAGCACTGTCAGAAGAACAAAGAAGGAAAGTTGTATAGCTGACCAACCTTTGTTAAGACTGCCTGGCCCGTCACGTCAACCTCCTGTTGTCCCGGTGAGTTCTCCTCCCCGAGGAGAAGCAGACGAGCAGTCTTGTTTCAAGGTAAGCGCCGAGGAGTATTTCTTAGTGGTAGGTTGCTACATGCTGGACGACGCCATCTTGTAATTTTCCTCTTATCGCCGACCCTCGGAGCGAATCGGATGGTTCCTCCTGGACAGGCCACGTCTGCAGCCCCCGCTGCTCATTCCCTCCTGGAGATCGTAGTGTCGGTAGATGGGGGGCTGAGCGAATGCTCACCCCCCCTCACCTTGTTTCGCATCGGCGACCACACCGCTCCCAGCTGCCGGTGCTCTCTGGAGTTTGCCCGGCTTAATCCAGGAGGCGGCTGACATGAAGGGACCTTTTTTCCGTCCCTCGCCTCCTCCCGCCAGTTCGGATGACCCAGCGGGAAGGTTTCTGGGCTCCACTCCGGCTCGCCATCCTGATCCCCATCTGGCCTCATTTCACAGCGGTGACGTCCTTCTGGGACGAGGCTGCAGCCGGTCCTGGTAGAACAGGGCGTCGGTTCCCACATCCGCGCCCATAACCAGAGTGGAGGGGTTTCACCGAGCAGGAATTCCCTCAGTGCCCCCGGGAGCCGAGCCTTGACGGAGGCTTTTTTTAGAGCAAGATGTCCAGGTTGGACCAGCGTCCCGCGCCTCCGGATAGCATAACTAGACGGTGACATCGCTCTCCAACCGAGCTCACCAGCATGCGTTTCCAGGCGGCCGCAGGGAACAGCACGTTACGCTGTTGGCGTACAACGTTCAGAGGCGGGAGGAGACGTACACTCCCTCTGCAAGACAGCTGACGTCATCCTCAATCGGTGCGCCTCTTTGTTGTCCGCCGGTCTCGCATCGCAGCCGGAGGACGAGGTTCCCAGAGGTTCTTCTGGCCCGTCACTCCACCTCCCTCTTGGTAGAGCTGCGGAAAGCTTTTTGTTGGAGGGCCAAAATCAACTAGGGATAATTTTCAAGACGTTCCATGGTTGCATAACGCTTCCCTGCTCTGCTACGCCAGCCCCGCCCATCAGACATCCCCGGCACCTGGAAGTCAGCTTTTCCCGGAGATTGCCAGCAGGTGGCGCCCTAGGACAACAAACCACAGCTCAGAGTGAGATGACTGAATGATGGTTTGCTGGATGTGTGTGAAGATGACACGAATGTGGGAAATAACATAATTTCATGATGAAAGTGTCTTTTAGCCAGTCTGTCAGCTCGGATGACCTGACAGCGGCTCCGTCACACACACTCCACTCGAATGAGCAAGTCGCCTTTTAAGGTTGTTTCAATCACTGTCGCTCCAAACAAGGCGAGACGCCAGCATGACACAACAGTCATAAGTGGGTGTGGTCCGCATAAGGAGTCTCAGTGGAATAACTTGTTTTTAGCCCAAGCTGCACACCCCTCACAAGCGGTGCCAATGCACGCTCCTGCGGCGTGAACAGCCTTCACCTATACGGCGCTGCGTTATGAGAGCGCGCACACAGCTCTCAGCGCCAGCCGCTCACGTCAACGTAAAGGTGAGATCGCGGTACGAGTCCAGTAACGTATCTCGCTCTTGGCAGGAGCGACACGCGTCTCACCGCAGTGGTGTCAAATGCGCGCTCCTGTGGCGTCATCAGTTTTTCACACGCCTCACAGCGGCTCCGTTCTTTCATCCTCCAAAAAGGATTTCTAAAATAACACTGCAGCTCGATGAATCACTCAAAAGCTCACGTGATTCGCAGCTAAGAATGAACGTGTTCTGCAGATCGAGTCCAGTGGTAAACATCGCCCTCATCCGGCGCCGCACGCTGCTTCCTAACCGCACCAGCGTCAAACGCGCGCCCCCGTGGCAATCCTCGCCTAAGACGCTGCGTCGATGAGGGCGCACACACACACACGACTCTTCAGCGCACGTCGGCTCACATCAACTAGATGCGAGCCTGCAGCCTGAGCATAACACGGAAACTTTTTTTTTTCAGAGCCTTTTCGTAAAAGTCTCCCCATGAGTGTGCGGAGCACGTCTCCTCGATGCACGACAGCGGTGGAGGCGGTGAGACATTATGCACCACGTACACGCACCCGCTCCCCGAGCGGCAGCACGGATATGAGCGGCAGCTTGAGCGCTGCACCTGCAACAACCCTAACCGGTTCTACATGCTCGGGCGAGCGCACCTTTCCCCAACGTGAGCGCAGCACAGAGGCGCCACGTCTCACAGCATCAGCAGCCCGCACACGGCCCGCATGCTCGGGGGCGTGCATTTCTTTCTCCGTAAGCGCGCACCAGCTCACATCAGCATGCATGTGAGCCCACAGCATAAACGCATGCCCGCTTCCCGGACGTTACGCGGAGTGGCAATGGGCATGCGCTCCAGACGGATAAATGAACCGTTATCAGTAGGGGATTCACGCTGCAGTACAGCTCAACCCCCCGTGCGGAGGAACTCTAGAGACGTTTGCTGTCATTTCTAGAACAGAGCTCGTCCCCTCTCGCAGAAGCTCAGGAAATTCTGATTAAAATGTAATTTCCAGGGTCCCAGAAAGAGAGGAAAACACAGGGTTCCACTCTCGTCACTCCCTGGTCCCAACGGACCGGAAAGATGATGATTTATCCTAGATTTGTCAATTTTGAACTGTGAGACAACATTCCATTAAATGCATCGAGCCGCTCGGCAGCCGCCACACAGAGCAGGGAGGAGAATTCTGCTTTATCTGGATATCTGTTGCTGCTGACCCGTTTTTACAGACAGATGGCAGCAGTGCAACTCACGTGAAACCAGCAGAGTGATATCAGCTGTTCTCCGTCAGCAGACCTACGTCACACATGTCAGACTTCACAGAGGCACATACATTTAATGAGCTGTGGGGGCGCTGTGGTCCCCCACACAGCAGCTCATTTAAATGTTTTTTGGACTGTCGCACGGGTTTTTGAATGCGATTCAACACTTTGCTTCTGTGCTACAAAATCATCAGGTTTTTGATTCACACAAACAGCAAGTGACTGTAGGAGGTGTATGTGCTCAACCCAAATGTTCCACATTGTGAGACAGATGCTGCGTGGGGCACACCAAATCTGCTCTCCATCAGAGCAGTGTACATCCCCTGTGTTCTGAACAGGGGGCGGATGTGATGTCCAGGGATGGTTTTGCGTCACGGGGACTGGAACCCTCCATCCAGAACTGATGGCTCAGACGCGGCAGAAATCTTGCGAGCAGCTGTGGACCTGTTTGCAACACGAGAAAACGCTCAATGTCAACTATGGTTTTTCACTGAGCCCACGGGACGAACCACCGCTAGGGGTGGACGCGTTTGCTCACAGTCCGTGGCCAAAATGTTTCTTCACTTTCCCTCACTCCCTCTGATATTACGGTTTCTGAACCGAGCTCAGGAGGAGGGACTGACAGCTCTTCTGTCCCGAGCGCGTGAACGCATCATGGTTCCCAGTCCTACGACACCTGTTATCGGGGCGCTCGTGGAATCTGCCCGGGAGGGAGGACGCTCTCCTCCAGGCGGGAGGAGCGATCAGGAGTTACCCAGAATAGGCCAGCACCTATGGGTCTGGCCGCTGAGTGGATCCACTTAAGAGAGGATGGGTCTCTCTCAAGATGTAGTGTGTACGATTCAGGTTTCACTTGCTGCATCTACCACAGCGCAGTTCACATCAAGTGGACAGCCTTTCAGTGCTGTTGTACAGATAAAGGTGTAGAGGCCACTTCATGTCCACTAGGTGGACCGTCCTTTCTGCAGCAGCTGATGGACAGAAATCTGGCGTTCAGCACAATTAAAACACACGCTGCAGCCATCTCTTCCTGTCACAAAGGTTTCGGGGACAGAACAGCTTTTAATCATCCACTGATGAAGCGTTTTTTAAAAGGTGTACAGAGATGCAGGCCTGTTTTATGCCCACTTGCTCTACAGTGGGACTTAACGCTGGTCCTGCGAGCCCTGATCTGTTTCATCTGAGCTACTGAATCAGGCTTCCAATTAAATTCTGTCTCTTTTTACAGCCCTGCTGTTGGCTTTTACATCCGCTAAGAGAGTGAGTGATTTATCTGCCCTCTCTATCGCTCCGTCATGTCTTGAAATTCAGGCTGATGACAGCTCAGTTGATCTAAGACTGAATCCAGCTTTATGCCTAAACATCACGAGCTCTTTTAAATCAAGAGCGATATTGTTGGAGGGGTTTCTCTCCCCCCCCCCCCCACAATCAGAAGAAGAAGCATTTTTCCATCTTCTCTGTCCTGTGCCGGCGTTGACGTGTTACATACACAGCTGCAATGCATCAAACTCAACATTTGTTTGTGCATTATAGGGATGCATCTGCAGGTCGCCTGTTATCCACCTGTCACACTGGTTGTGTGAGGCTATTTCTGAAGTCTACAGAGCATCAGATTTAGAGCCTCCTGTCAACCTCAGGGCGCACTCGACCAGAGGTATCGCATCTTCGACTGCTTTGCATAATAGTATGACAATGCAGGATATTTGCACTGCGGCCGAGTGGTCCACACCCTGCTCTTTTATTCGCTTTTATCTACGTGATGTGACGGCTCGTTCCATGACACATTCTGTACTTAGTGTTTTAACAGAATGAATATTGTTGTTTCATGGAACTCCGTTTAACTCACATCTGTCTGCATGCATTACAGTGTGAGATGTTGTTATCAGTCACAAGTTATGACTGTTATTTTGGTTCTATGGCCATTAATCAGTTCATGACTATCCTTACCAATCAGTTCATTTGATTAATAATCAGCTCTCTTGTTATTATTAATCTGTTCATACTGTTCAGCCGTGAATCGGTTGGTTCATGGCTCCTTTCAGCATTTCTCCCCTCCGTTTAATTTTTTCCGGGGTGTTCATGCATTCAGAACGCATATTTACACATCATGCGTCTGTGCATGGTACACATAATTACGCAACGCGTAATTACGCACATGGAGAGCTGAGTGACAAGACGTTTTTTGGGCAAGCTTCCGCTTCATACGGTGTTCGAATGGACCCAGTGAGGCGAGGACCACATCTGCTTCGCCCTTAACCCACTAAGCGACAGCCTTAAAGGGTGAAGCCTATATGAAATAGAATGTTAGTTACGTACTGTAACCCCAGATTCTATGAATATAGGCGTAGCCCTTTAAGCGTCGGGCTTCACTGACTCCTAAGTGGCTGAAGAAAAAAGATACTTGGGAGCCGATTACCCGCTCTTAACGTAATTTATACGAACCGGGTGGGGCCCACACAGCAGGTGGGCGTGGACTAAATTTTTCAGTGTAATGCACCGCATGACGGGATAAACCCACTAAGCGACAGCCTTAAAGGGCTACGCCTATATTCATAGAATCTGGGGTTACAGTACGTAACCAACGTTTAATGTCAAGGAAAGAAACCAGGAAAGACAATCTTTTATTTATTTTATTTATTTATTTATTTTTTAATGTTCAGAGGACTAGATTTAACTTTTTTAGATGGGTATGTTGTGTTTGCAGTGTGGTTTTAGCATTTCCTCTAAGGCCCTGTTTATACGACGCTGTTTTGAAGTAAAACCGTAACATTTCTGTTGCATTTTGGCTGTTTGTCTGCATGACAACAGAAGTCGTTTTCACTAACACCAAAACCTTTAGAACCCAGGTCTCAGAGTGAAGGTTTTTGGAAATGTCTCACATCGGTGTGAAATCACACAAAACACCCAGTTCCATTGTTCAAATTTCAAAAGTCCCGGGGAGCATGAGGCACAGCCCAGGGACTGGCCTTGGAGTCTCTCCCAGACACAGTGAATTGATAATGAGCAAACAAATACAAAAATTCTGAGGGGCGGGGGGTAAAGCACCCGTTGGATAACTTGGGTGGAAAAGTTGGAGGTCTGTTTATGATGTGTGTGCTCTTACTGTGCTGTTTTTTTGTTGAAGGGATCCATGAGGCGCAGTGTGTCCCTGATTACCCACACTTTAACCTCCTCGTCCACTGGACTGGGAACATATTCAAATAGTCCTGGTGCCACCTGAGATAAAAAAAAATGCAGTTTAAATGTAGAGATGAAGATGTGTGTTTTCTGATGATGCCAGTGCTAACAGTCTTACTTCCTGCTCATGCTCTATTCTCATACTGGGGTTAGAGTTGACCTCTAATAATACAGGCTTCAGGTTCTTCATCAGCAGGATGTCAAAACCTAAAACCTGACACAAACAGATCAAGAGCCACTTAATATCCACAAAACATGAGATAATTTCTGTCAGTCACAAAATTCTGAGCAACTAAACATCACATTAAGTAATTTGTAGCTTATGACAGTTATAAAAACAAAAAGTACACCAATGTCCCCCGTTGCTGACCCAATTGAATAGTGAATGTTTATAGTTTTCAAGATGAGTGTTTTTTGGACTAGAATTGCATGACTTTCCTTCCCTCAATTGATTTTGGTGATATTATTTACATGAACGCTCCTACAAGAACCCTGCAGATGTTGGATGCTGTCTATCATGGTGCACTAAGATTCATAACTGGCTGGGATTATCGTACCCACCACTGCACTCTGCATTCATTGGTTAACTGGACATCATTAACTTCACGCAGACTCTCTCACTGGTACATTTTCATCTTTAAATCACTTCTTGGTCTGTTGCCTTCATACATCTCCTCCTACATGTCTCTGCGTGAGTGCAGCTACGGAGTGCGCTCTCAGGACATTATTACCTGCAGTGTTCCCTCAGTGAGGACTGAACTAGGCAAAAGGGCCTTCTCCTACTCCGCTCCTGTTTCCTGGAATATCTTACAAAAAGATTTGAAGCTCTCGACCTTGACCTCTCTAAGTGTCTTTAAGAATCTGTTGGACTCCTGGCAGGGTCCAATGCAAACATGTTCCTGTTTTTAGTTTTCTACATTTGTCTTGGAATCTAGCTGTTTTTTGTTTTGTTACCTTTTTCCTTTTAGCCATCCTATATTTGTTAAAAAAAAAAAAACAAAAAAAAAAACTGTAGTATGAGTTTTTATAACTGCTTATTGTTGTTGCTGTTGTCCATTGTTGTCATCTTTCTTTGTTGAAATCAGGTCTCTCTTGTAAATGAGTCCTCGAGGCTCAATGGGATTTACCTGTATAAATAAAGGTTGATTGATTAAGCAATATAAAAACTAGAAAGCATAGTTTCCTCAAATGATGGGAACGGTTGGTTTGCACACATATATATATGGTGGTGGCCATCTTGGATTTTCATGGGGCATAGTTTTTATATTTTATATAGTTTATTTATATAGCACCAAATCACAACAAATTTGTCTCAGGACACTTTACAGGAACATTCACATACATAAAAGTCAATTAGTAAAGTTCTCTATCTAAGGAGGCCAACAGACAAGTTGAATCTTGGCTTTTTGCAGTCTCCCATCCTGAGCAAGTACAGTGGCAACAGTGGAAAGGAAAAACGTTGGTTACGTACTGTAACCCCAGATTCTATTGCCCCTTTTCCATTAGTACCGGTACGGGCCGGTACAGCCCGGCTCTACTCTACTCGGTACGGTACAGGTTGTGTTTCCATTATGCTTTCAGTACCGGTTCCAGTGGGCAGGGTTCAAATTGACGTCACCACCTCTCACCAGCTGGTGGCGCTGAGACGCAGAAACTGTTTTCTGTACAGGTTGAGAATTTATGTTATTTTGAAGTTGTGTGTATGTATGTATGCATGTATGTGTGTATGCATGTATACATGTGTATAAATATATACATATATGCACATATATATATATATATATATATATTTATACACACACACACAAATATATATGTACACACAA